TTACATAACATCTCTTTCCTTTATTTGGTTTTAAAGTTTATTGTTCGAATCTCGACATTTTAGAAAATAACTTTTTATGTTACAAGTTAAAAGGAAGTTGTCAGTATTTATAACATGTCAATGGTTAAGAAAGTAAGTAAAGTATATACGAAGGTCGGCCAAAAATTTGCGCTCTAAGGTACTTATCATTGTTTCATTACTTCCTAGTTGTGAGAACTGGGAGGTAGTTAGTATAAAGAAAGAAAATATCGGGTGTCCTTTCAGTTTGTTTATTAAAGCTTATTTCGTTCCGTAATCAAGTTAAAAGGGCATACGCCGTAAGAAATTTTTAAAGGTATTTCATCGGTTCTTTAAGACTATTGGCCTTTATAAACGGTAGTAAAAATGGGCTTCCTTTTTTCAACAAAGAAGACAAAAGGAACGACCCATGACAGTAGAAACCACAGGAAATGTCAAAAAATATTAATACTACCTCATAGAAAAATTTAATTGTAGCAAATAACACATCATTCTCAGATTAACAAAGAATGCTTTATAAAAATTTTACACATAACAAGCGTCCTGATTTTAAGCGAAGTTCTGTATACATTATTGAAAGGCTATTCCTTTACTTCTTCTCCGTGAAGCTGTAAATATTTCACTGTTGAACATGAGCAACTTGAGTATTTGAGGATTTGCCGAGATTGACGAATTTGGTTATTGGTAGCAAGCTTTATTAGGGATAGTATGCAAAAATGGAATAATATGTTCTTTCAAAACTGGCCCATGACATGCCCATGTCTCTCTTAAGGAAGGATATAATTACTTAAATATTACTTAATTACCACGCTTGGTAGTCGGATTTGAGGAGCAGACTATTTTAGTAAAAGATTTTTTCTACGTCTCTTATTAAACTTTTCTTTATACTAACAGAGTTTTTACAAATGAAATTTCTAATTTTTTATAGAATAAGGGTGAGAAACCAGCACATAGTCTACCTGATGGTAAGTGAATAACATGGCCCCTACATTTATACCTGATAACCTTTAACCTTTAACTTCACACTAATGAAGTTGAAATGTAGAATTATATTGGAAGTTATTAAGACTAGCAAATGTATTGTATATGTAACAAATCGACATATAATTGATAGAATCAGGTATTACTTTGTGGAAATTCATTATAATGAAGATATTAAAATTTAATTCGCAACAATCCGCTAAATTACATACAATGATGTGTCTTTGAAAAATTGAAAAGCACCTCCCGCCCTTCCTCAATTGCGTGCACTAATTCCGATTTATCTTGTCAGAACTTGAAAATTTGCAACTTCAGCTCCAGCTTCTCTCTAGGAATCAAGATGAAATGAAGGTTAGGACCAGGAGGAAGATGTTGCTTGTGCATGGTGTGTCAGAAGCCCAAGATGAAACCCCTGTGCATTGCACGAGTAAAATATTATCGTTGCGATTGAACATCCCTAAAATAACTGTGAGCTCTATCACTAGATGCCATCGCTTAGGGCGCCCCCCGTGGTGACGAGCCCCGTGCGCTGCTTGTGAAATTTCAAGATCAGGATCTCCGTGACAAAGTCTGGTTTTCTAAAACCAAGTTAAAGGGTAGCCGAGTTAGTCTATCTGAGTTCATGGCTGCCCGGAAGCGCTTTGGTGTATCCCAGTGTTGGTCACAAGATGGATATGTCGTGGTGAATGGGTCCGATGGCATGAAGCACCGGGTGTACACCGTGGCTGAGGTAAATGCCATTCCCGATGCAACGTGTGGTGTTCCTACTACTTCATCTTTGACTGCGACGACGGTGGCGACGACAGCGGCGGCGGCATCTTCTGCTCCTTAGCCCTGGGTTACTACTGCTAGGGCTAGGAAGATGACTAAAAAATGAAGGTGGCGAGTTTTTCTTGTAGTTTTGCTTATACTCGTGGACTCAAGCAGCTCAATTCATATATTTTTTGTAACTTTTGGTTAATCAAGCATTAATTTAAAATTTTTGCCATATATTTCAACGACATTATTTCATAATAGGTTGCACTGGTTTGACGACTGTTACTCAAATTACTTTAACTATTGCACATTACAGGTAGTTATATTATTTGAATATCCTAATTTTTTCTTTTTTTATTGTTTACTTTAACACAGACAGTTGTTACCTGTAACCATAGATTACTGTATCAATACTATAGTACTGTAACCACAGAGGCTGACAGAACCATTCTTAGCGTAGACAGAGAATCCTATAGACTAATGATTAGCGTAGCCTCGAGTGAGAAAGGGAGATAACGTAGTTTTAGATTATACAGTAATCTTTATGACTTTTAAACATATTTAGATAAAAAATTAATTGTTGTAAGAACTGAACTGAACAAGATTCACCAATCTTAAGCTCACAAAACATTTTTTTCTCACTTAAACCAACTTGTAAACTCCTTAGATCGCTACAAACTGTCAAAGTTGTTTAGCAAAGTGTAGCTAAACAAAAAAAAAACCAGCAAGACGTATGCATAAATCTATCTTTTTCGTGTGCGAATGCGAAAGAAGGCGTCAATTTGTCTATAGGTTTCTCTGTCTACGATTCCTAGATTTATTTTTTACTTTATTTTATTTTACTAGTTTAGCAAAGGCGTCTATAACCATACTGCCTAGTCTAATGTTTATAATTTCAAAATTTCAATCAATTTATTGGAGCCAGACTACTAGTTTTTTCTTGGGAATTTTAATATTAAACTGATTGTTTTATTTCTTTAAGTTGTTGCTGTGTTATGCTTTCTCTTTCATGCTGTTGGTGGTTGTAATTTAGTAGGTACCGTTCGATCCTGCATTTATTTTTAAGCGTATATTACTATTTATTTGTATATTTAATTAGTTTTACGTTATCTTCAAACATGTGAAACGATTTATTTCTGTCATTGTCTTCGGAAAATGAGACACCTAGTGATGTTAGTTATCACAGTACAACTGCTTCTCCTTCACTCAATATCACCTTACATTCTTGTTTCTCAGACTGTGTAAATAATTTCAATGCTATTCATACTAACGCCTAAAGCATTCCGGCTCGTTATTCCGAAATGCTTGCGTCATTTGAATCCCGAAATATTCACGTCATTTTAGTTTCAGAATCTTGGCTAAAAGCCTGTTTCCCTTATACTTCTTACTCTTTGCCTCGGTAGTAATGGAGGTGGTGGGAGCGTGGCGATCTATCTAAGATCCTACTTTCCATTTAAAATTTTTAGTTCATCATGTCAACCACCTCCTGTTGATTCTACTGAAAATTTGTTAGTTGAGGCTCCCTGCCTCGGAATGAAATCCCACTTGGAGTTTTCTACACTTTCTCTCTTTCTATAAACTCTTTTTTTTTCTTTTGAATCTCTTTTAGAATCACTAGTCCCCACGTATAGTTATACTATTTTGATGGGTGACTTTAACACCTGTTTACTTAAAGGCGACAATCGGGCTATAAAACTTGAGTCCATAATTGAAGCGTGTAATATGCAAATCCTACACCTTGCTGCTACTCACAAATTTCCTTACTGTACTCCTTCCCTTCTTGACTTAATAATATTGTCATTTTCAAATCTAGTTTTTAAATCAAATCTACTTCAAATCTAGTATTCTTCTGATGCATTCTCCTATCACAATTTAATTTTCCTTTCGTATAAACCACGCCCTCCTAAAATCGAACCTCCGTTCGTTTTTAGTCTATTTACTATATATGATGTTAAGAAGATCATATTATCCATCCCCTCAAATGCTGTCGGTAGCGACAGCATAAGCCGTAATATGATTGCTCCTCTGCTTGATGTTATCACTTCCATTATCACTCAGTTGCTTAATGCATGAGTATCTTCCTCTAAATTTCCTCAAGCCTGGAAGAGTGCTTATATTATACCCCTTCCGAAAAAATCTAATCCCATCACCTCACTGACTTCCGCCCCATTTCACTCTTACTTTTCCTTTCTAAAGACCTTGAAACACTTATTTGCCAACAGCTGACCCTTTTCCTTAACCCTAGAAAGATAATCATATTGAGTTATACGTAAAAGATAATCATACGTAAAATTGACTCCTTAGTTTTGAGTGGCTGTTAAGTGAAGAGTTTTTTTACTGATTTGAGTAAAAAAAAAGTATTAGTTTTCTACTACCGTAATCAATTTAAAATACTAACATTTACTTATTATAATTATTAATTTTATAACAAAAATTACAAACTTCTCAATAATCAACAAAATTTAGGAACTTATTTTTTCTTTTAAAGTTTTTTTATAGTCTTATCATAAATCAGTATTTTTATATAATATTCTAAGTGATAAAAAACCAAAATTAAAAAATAACATGAAAATTGTATTAAAAAATCTGTCAAAATAGTTTAAGCACATATCAACGTTATGGTGACGGCAAATAACAGCTTTACATTTTTTTGCGTATGGCATTTGCTTTTCTCTTTATTTTAGAGGGGCAATATTTACAATAGTCACGTTTTTTTGCTATTGGTTTTACTTTATCCTCTTCTTGGGCACTCATTTGTAACAAATTATTTATAGTAGTGATAGATTACGACTCATCACGGAGACATATAATGTTGAAGAAGATCGGTCGATCAACTCATCTGTGGACATATAGTTGTCTTTTCTTATCGCAGTCATTACCAAGATGCCGATCAAAGCACGGATTTCATTCTCACTTGTGTCTTTGAATGTAGCACTAGTCATAGTTTCCCGTCCTTTGAAGGATATTTCTGCATTGGTCCATCTTACAAATTCGAAAATTATTTCATCAGCAAAGAAGATGTTGAAACATAAAACCGGCTCATAAAGATTGCGGCACATGCGTTTTGGACCCCTTTGAGACCTGACGATATTCTGTGCTGAGACTCCACCACGTTTTGAAAACTTTGAGGTCGACCAGCAGTGTTTATTCTTACCTCTGATAGTTATTCGTGACAGAGTTATTATTCGACGAGAAGCCGTTGAGGGAGTTGCTTGCTTAGAGCTTTCTTCCGCCATGGGGTCAATTTAGAAAGGAGTTATTACTTCTTCTTCCCTCACATCGTCCACAAAACCATCTTCCTCATTGCTCTGGATGCCATCCTCGCTCTCGTGGTCTTCAAATTCACTGTCGGTGTCAACACAGGGCGGCTTCTCATCACTCTCCTAAACAGCGGCAAGGATGTGGTCTTCATCCAAATCTCTAGTCTCCATTTTGGCTTAGCAGTATCACGACAGACAAAAATAAAAACAATATCAGAAATAAACAAAAATAACGAATACAATATAAAAACAATACAAATAACTATTTCACCAAATATCGTAAAAGTCACATAAAAGATAATCACACGTAATTTTGACTCCTGTGACTATCGTATCTCAAAATGGTGGGCACTTACCTCAATGATGCGATTGCCCCACGCTAGCTCCCAGTGGTGAACGAGATGTCTGAAAAGCACAACGCCGGATTCGCAATAATTAAAAAGAGGCGGCATTATTTCATTCGCGTGGGAGTCATTTTGACGTAGATTATCTTTCTAGGGTTAATAAGCACAATTAGTTAAATTCTTTACAATCCGGTTTCCGTCCTGGTCATAGTACGGCTACTGCCTTAATTAAAGTTACTGATGATATACGGCGGGGTATGGATGATAAAAAACTCACAGTCATGACCTTGCATGATTTCAGTAATGCGTTCAATACTGTTGACTTCGATATATTGTTGAGTCAGTTGTATTCCCTTAACATATCTCCATCAGTAATTGACTGGTTTCAAAGTTAACTCTGTGACCGTCGGCAGTGTATTCATGTCGATGAAACTCACTCATCTTGGTGTGATATTACTGCAGGCGTGCCGTCGGGTGACATGTTGTCACGTTTACTCTTTTTCATCTTCATCAATTCAATCACTCATAAAATTTCTTCTCTCTATAACATGTATACGGATGATGTCCACCCAGTCAACTCTTGAGAATTTTCCGAAAAGCAATCGCTACATTAAACAACTTAAATATGATTCACGAGTGGAGTCAATCATATGGCCTAAATATCAATCCTAAAAAGTCACAGGCTATCATTTTTGGTAGCTAGAGCTTTATCTCAAGAATTGACTGATTCTCCATACCACCTTTTGTATTCGATGGGGTTGTAATCCCCTACTTTGACAATGTCAAAAATCTTGGTGTTTACCTTAATAGTTCCTTAAATTAGAAACGCCAACTGAATGAGGTCCACTAACATCTCGAGACGGCGAAGCCGGCTCTGCTCTTTCTGACCGAGACACAGTAGTCCTCCCCAGCTAATGTCTCGTATCTCTCCTACCCGGGGTACAAACTGGAACACTCCTTTGTGCCTCGGTCTGAAGTTTGCGTTTACGTCAGAGAGGACATCATTTCTCGACGCTTCGGCAGTCTTGAAGGTTCGGACCTGTCCATCCTTTGGCTGCGCGTAGACAGCGACGACCATCCGCTCGTCTACAGGTCGCTATAGGTCCCATAGCGGTAATACCGAAACAGACCGACTCTTCGACCACGTGCAAATGGCTACAGATTCGTTGCTACAGCAGATCACCTCCGCAGAGATCGAGATCCTCGGCGACTTTAACGCCCACTACGCCGAATGGCTTGGTTCACGTTTAACCGATCATGCAGGGAGATCTGTTCATGATTTTGCCTTGGCTATGGTCTGACACAACTGGTTACTTCGCCTACGCGGATTCCAGATGTGGAGTATCATGCACCTTCCCTGTTGAACCTTCTCCTGACCTCTCACCCGGACGGATATCAGATTTCCGTTGAGGCCCCTTTTGGCTCCTCGGACTATTGTCTTGTTCGGAGTGTGGTGCCACTCACGCTGAAATCGCAGTTGCATTCTGCAGGTTGCCGCCGTGTTTGGAACTACAGGTCAGCCGATTGGGATGGGATGCGGTTTTTCTTTGCATCCTACCCTTGGGGGCGGGTTTGCTTCTCGCCGGAAGATCCCAACGTTGTTGCGGATTCTGTCGCTGATGTGGTACTTGGAACTTTTTATTCCTTCCTCTGTGGTGCCCATTGGAGGCAAATCTCAGCCATGGTTTGGTCGCTCCTGTAAAATAGCATCGTGCTATAAGCAGGAGGGCTACCAAGCCTGAGCTGACGCATCAGCGCCCCGGGATGTAAACACCAGCGCTCTAAAAAAGAAGTATAATTCCGCCTCTAGGTCCTTCAAAAGAGTCATTGCCAAGGCAAAGTCAGAGCACATAGGCAGAATTGGCGTGAAACTAGTTCGCCTTCCTTCTGGAACCCGTGCATTCTGGTCTCTCACCAAGACTGTCCGGGGGAATTTCTGTCAGCCATCTCTTCCATTTTTGCACAGGGAGGACGACGCAATGGCCCATACCGCAAAGGAGAAAGCCGATCTGCTAGGCTCTTTCTTTGCGTCCAATACGACTCTCGATGACGGGGGGAGTACGCCACCGACGATCCCGCGGTGTGAGTGCTCCATGCCGGAAGTGCAGTTCACACAGCGCTCGGTTCGCAAAGAACTCCTCTCCCTGGACATCCACAAGTTGAGTGGGCCTGACGGAATCTCCCAAATTGTACTGAGGATGTGTGCTCCAGAGTTGGCACCGGTTTTAGCCTGTCTTTTCCGGTACTCGAACTCACTAGGCGAAGTCCCAAAATCATAGAAGACGGCTTTCATCCACCCGATCCCTAAAAAAGGTCCCGTCAGACCCGTCTAACCACCGGCTTATCACCATCACCTCCTTGTTCTCCAAAACAATGGAGTCTATTGTTAACTGCCAGCTCATTAGGTACCTTGAGGATCATCAGCTGGTTTTCGCCGTGGTCGATCAGCTGGTGATCTTCTGGTCTACCTAGCTCATAGATGGGCTGAGGCAGTCGAGTCCAAGGAAGCATTGGCCGTTAGTTTGGACATTGCGAAGGCCTTCGATCGGGTTTGACACAAATCGCTTCTTTCGAAGCTCCCTTCCTATGGGCTTCTCGAGATATTGTGCGATTGGATCACCAGCTTTCTTGCAGATCGCAGCATCAAGGCTGTTGTAGACCGATTACAAGCCTATTAATGCTGATTTTCCACAAGGCTGCGTGCTATCGCCAACGCTGTTTGTTCTGCATATCAATGATATGTTGCAAACCCGTAACATTCATTTCTATGCAAATGACAGCACTGGTGATGCTCTTTACACCGACCGTGCCAATATTTCGCGGGAAAACGTCTCCGATTACCGGGACAAACTTGTGTCTGAAGTCGAGTCTTTACTGATCAGAGTCTCGGATTGGGGGCGACTAAATCTAGTCCAGTTTAACTGTTCCAATCTCTGGGCTGGCGCTCCCCAGTACCAGCTCCTTCCACTTGACCGCATCCAGCGCAGAGCGGCTTGAATCATCGACGACCGAGTGCTTTCCGATCGGCTCGATTCACTGGCGCTGCGAAGAGATGTTGCATTTTCTTTGTATTTTCTTTCGCATATACCATGGGGAGTGGTCTGAAAAATTGTTCGGATTAATCGTGGCGCCAAATAGCCGCCACCGCCCGCTGCCGCGCACTACGCGGCAAACGTCCTGATACAGTCCACACCAACTGGATGCTTGGCGGTCCACCACTGTACGTTTCACAAGGAGTTTTCTTCCGCGTACGAACTCTCTGTAGAATAGTTTATCACCGGCGATTTTTCCTACTCCTTTCCAAAGGGCCGGCAACGCACCTACGATTCCCCTGGTGTTGCGGTTGATCATGGGCGATGGTAGTCACTTATTATCAGGTGAGCCGCAAGCTCGTTTGCCCCCTCTTCTATAAAAAAATGAGGTAAGTAGGAAAACCTTTGTCGCTCTTAGTTCACTGCGTCGCCTTCGATCATTCCTTCCCATTTCCACAAAAATTACGCTCACACGGTCTCTTCTCCTTAAGATTTTCGACTATGCTGACGCAAGCTATGTAGACATAACTAAGGACCAGCTAACTAAGCTTGAGAGCTTTCAAAATACTAGTATTTTGAAAGCTCATATTTATATTGGTACTTCGGTTCATATTTATATTGCGCAAATTTGACCTTATTTCCCAATTTCGCTCACGTTTCAAGTCTATCCGATTTCGCCGGAACATGCATATTCTTTCTATTCTGTACTGAGTCTTATTTCACCCTTATACTCCTCCTTATCTAAAGGAGAAGTTTAATTTTGTTGGGCTTCCTGGGGAACCTCTACGCTCTTCAAGGAAATTTATTTTAAGGGTACCAACTCACTGTACATCTTTTTTTTTAAATAATATATTGATATTATATTATGTATATTTATATTCCACCTAGTATTCACTGTTTTATACCTTTACACCTTTGGTTGCCTGGAAGAGATTACTATATAGCGATAAGGCCGCCAAATTGTACATGTAATCTGCTCTTCGTTATGTTCTTTGTAAATTAGTTTGCAGTGTACAATAAAGTATATTCATTCATTCATTCATGAAAATGGTCTCCGGTTCTCTACACTCGATGGTAAGTGGGTACTACAGTTTATAAACAATTGCAGCCATTTTCAAAAAAATAAGGCTAAAGACGCATTTTCACTCCTGAGGACTAAGATGGAATACCTCACAGCGAGTAATTTACGGGCTCTATATATCGTTTAGACCGGAATACAGCCTTTCAGGAACTGACATTTGTCAGCTTTAATGGGTAACATGGCTTAAACAGGCGAACTCCAGCGCAGAAAATGAGCGCTACTACCAGTAAATAAAAGAGATAATTATACTAGGCTAATGGATTATCTTCCGCAGTGACCGAGTTATGTGTAAAACGAAGGGATATTTAAGTAACCGCACCGCATCGTATTTTATCTATATTGAGTTCCGTTCTACTACACTTCATTGCTTTCCATTATCTTTTAATCCATTTCGTCCCGTTCCATGCTATTACATTCCATTCCTCTCTATTCTATCCTCTCTTCTTCTTTTTAATCCCTAGTCAGCCTTTATGTGCCTTTCTAGTACCATGCCATACCATGTCGTGCATTGCCGTGCCGTGCCGTGTCCTGACGTGCTCTGCCCTGACCTGTCCTACTATATTTTTACACTTTTAATTATATATTTCTATTATATTATTGATTTGGTTCGCCATATCATCCCACGGGTTTCGTAAGAGCTGAAAGAGGGTTGCGCAGCAGGAGTTTCCTAGTGACGGCTCATGCTCTTGCGGTTGCCAACATACCTGCCACGCGAGGCAACGATGACAAAAGGTAATATATTTTCAAGCCTATGTACAACAGTGGACTTTTGATGGTTGCAATTAATGAATAAGTTTGATTGAGAACTGCATATAGACAAGCAAAGCTATGAATTCAGACATGAAACTACGAATATCCTGAACGAACCGGTTACGCCGGAACATGCATAGTTGTTGGAGGCACTAAACTTGGAGTTAGTAACGAGTTTGTTTTCCAACTACTCCACTAACACATCTCGTCACGTATAACTAGATTAAAGGATAGAATTTTCAAAT